GGGATGCTGCGAATACTCAGGTGAATCTTTGTTACAGGAATGAATGACAGTTGCTAGTCAGCGACTCAAAGTCCAATCAACTTCAGATAAACAAAAGTAATTTTGGGCTCTCCCAAGGCTGAAGCTCATTTTCTTTTTAAATTGCGGTTATGACACAGGTAACATAAATGTTGCCACCTTAACCACCTTTGAGTGTATAGTTCAAGTCTTTCACCATCGTGCACACCTGCAATCCCTGCACTCAGGAGGCTGTGGGACGGCTGTTGTTGAGGATTCGAGGCCAATCTGGGCTACATAGTGAGTTCAAGGCCAGCCTGAACTGCATAGCGAGTCCCTGTCTGAACAAAACTAAACTTTTCCCACAGTTCATTTGAAGCAGGTTGGAAATTTTTAGAAGAAATTAAATTTAAAAATGTAATGAAATAAAAAAAAGGAAACCTAAGTCATGCAGCCCCTCCTGTGGCTGGCTAGGGATGAAATCCCGGATGGTGGTGCGTAATTTTAGGCAACAGTGCCCCCTAGGGGTCATTGCTGTACTGTGTGCCAGCCTTTTCAATAATCATGGAGGACATCCCATGGCACTATAGAGCGAGCATACTGGCTTGGGCTCCCTTTTCTTCCTTCTCCTCCTTCTCCTTGTTTGTAGTACAGCCGCTTATGATTTTTTTTGCATGTAATCCCAGCACTCAGGAGGCTGAGGCAGGAGTATCGCCATGAGTTCAAGGCCACCCTTATTACATAGTGAGTTTAAGGCCAACCTACACTACATAGCAAGACATGGTCTCAAAAAAAAATTTTTTTTTTTTTAAATTTTGAGACCAAGTCTCACTAAGTTGCCCAAGTTGGGCTTGAGCTTATGATTCATTTAAATTTTTTACTTTTTATTTATTAAAAACGTTTTTTTGGAGACAGAATGTTGCTATGCAGGGTTCAGGCTGGCCTTGAACTCACTATGGAGACTAGTGACCTCAAACTCACTGAGTCTCCTGTTTCAGCCTCCCAAATACTAGGAGGTGTATACCCGCATGCCTGGTGTGTTTTTTATTTTGAGACAGGGTAACAGGGTAAATTGTTAAATTGCCCAGGTTAGACTTGAACTTGTGATTCTTCTGTCCCAGCTTCCCCAAGTACTGGCGTTACAGGTGTGGGTTACCATGCCCAGCTCTCTTTCTCTTCTTACAAAGCCACTCCTGCCACCAGCCCTGGAGACCTCATCTAACCTTAATGACCTCCCACCTTTAAATTCCATGACACAGTTCATGTGAATTCTGAGGGCAGAGGCCGCATTCTCACCACAGTGCCACAGACAGCACGTGATAACAGGTTGTAGCATTGGTGTTCACATGTAAGATAAACCCTTTGCTGAAAGTGTACATGGACAGCAGCAGTGGATAGTCTGTTAGAGATGCAGAAGCCCAGGCCATGCTGCAGGCCACCTGCCAAGAGTTAATAAACTGTAGCTCTGGCAACAGGAGAGTTTAATCTAGCCAAGTGTGGTGGGGGTAGGGAAACCAGGTGTGGTGGGGTGGGCGGGGTGGAGGCACCTGCAGCCCAGCTGCTGGCCTGACCTGAGAGATGGGAGGGTTACTTGAGCCTAGGAGTTTAAGACTTGCCTGGGCAACTTTGAGTGATGGTGTCTCAAAAACAAAACCAAATAAGAATTAAATCTTTAGCATAAATGGAAAATGACTAAAAAAGAATCTTTGGGGCTGGGATTTAGCTAAGTGGCATAAGTGCCTGCCTTGCAAGTGCAGAGTTGTGAGTTCGATCCCCGAAGCAAAGAAGAAAAAAAATTGTTAGAAGAATCCTTGAAGAGGGAGAGTTGTACTATAAGAAAAATTAATAGCCTGATAACATTTTTATTTTTTATTTTACCTTTTTTGTTTTTGATCTTTTTGAAGCAGGGTTTCATTGTATGGTTCAGGCTGGCCTTGAACTCACTTTGTAGCCCAGACTGGCCTTGAACTTGCAGTGATCCTCCTGCCTCAGCTTCTCGAGTGCTGGGATTACAGGCATGTGCCACCATGCACAGCTATTCTAACATTTCTTTGGTAGGGGGGTACCAGAAATGGGATTCACGACCTTGTGCTTTCCAGGCAGGCACTTAACCTGCTGGGCTAAATCCCTGGCCCTATACTAACGTTTAAAAACTGTATTTGTAAAAAGTTTTTTTTGAGACAAGGTCTTGCTATGTGCTCACTATTTAGCCCATGCTGACCTTGACCTTGTGGCTATCCTCCTGCCCAGCCTCCCAACTACTGATGTTATAGGAGTGTGCTGCCTTGTCTAACTAGAAATTATTATTATTGCATGTAAATTCTAAGTGTTGGTAATAGGAAATATGAGAATGAGAAAGTACATTCTTCAAATTTTTTTAAAAAAAGGTTTCACATTTTGGAGTTGGGAAGAATTGGCAAATAAAATATCCCAGTGAAAGAGCAAAATTATAATTTAGTTCTGATATATTAATGAAAAATTAAGCAGTAGTTGTAATTATGTCTGTTGGGAAGATAATCATGAGCAGAATTTTTTCTAATTTTTTAATTCTTATTTTTTGGTACCAGACTCATGACTATGCACTTGCAAGGCAGGCACTTATGCCGCTGAGCTAAATCCCCAGCCCCCATGAGTACAATTTAAAAGGCATTTTACAACTTTAACTGTGTAGGAGGAAAAAACCAAACAGCAGCTGGAAAAAACCAGGAATTAGAAAACAGAGAAATCTGCACTGAGGAACATAAATGGCAAACAAATGGTGAGCATAAACATGGAAGGAATAAAGTCATGTGTGTAAATTTGTTTTCTAAATATAAATGGGCTGAATTAATTTGTCAATCAAAAGGAAGTAGTCAAATTAAACAATCTGGACTTAAATTGGGTGTGGTAGCCCATAATTGTAGACCCTGCTATCAGGAGAAGGAAGCAGAAGAATCACAATTTGAGCGCAGCTTGAGCAACTTAGTGGACTTTGCGAGACCCTGGCTCCAAATTAAAAATTAAAAAACAAAAATTAAAAATAAAGCTGGGTGTGGTGGTGCACGCCTGTAATCTCAGCTCTCAGGAGGCTGAGGCAGGAGGGATTCTGATGAGTTTGAGGCCAGCCTGAACTACATAGTGAGTTGTGGGCTTATATTATTTACCAAAAAAGCACCCAAAACAACCGGCAAGGCAGCAGACAATAAAGTAACATGAAAGACACTTGAGAAAATGCTAACAGTGATTGCTTCTTAGAAGGGAAGCTGAGGGCTGGGAACAAAGCTAGAAGGGAAGCTGAGGGCTGGGAACAAAGCTAGAAGGGAGACTTGTGACTTCTGATGTTTGTACTTTGTATTTTAAAATTGTATTTATTTGTTTACTTATTATTTTTGTAGTGCCAGGGATCAAACCCAAGGCCTCATGCATGCTAAGGCAAGTGTTCTATCACTGAATTACACCTCCAAACCCTGACCCGAGATGGGAGGGTTGTATTTACTTTGTATTTGTTTTACTCTTCAAAATTAATCAAGCATTAATAAAAGAGATTTGCAAACGTATGCCAGCAAAAAACAAGATGTGCAATAATATTATCATATAAATGGAAATCATGTTCAAAACACATTGAACAGAACAAATGGTGATATCAGGATGGGGTCAGTTTAAGACAATGTAACGACTTAAGAAAATATAGAAACTGAACACTTTCATGTATCACTATAGCAATCAGATACAAGAAGGCACAACTACCCAGGGAACTTGACTAAAATACCTCTAAGCTTTAACAGATCGAGTACACAAAATTAAGCCTTAAGGGGATTTGAATAATCAGTCAGGAATCTCAGCTTACTGGATAGACATTAACTAGACAGCATAAACTGTTAGAAAATCAATTCTGTATGCACCCAGAAAGAAAGCTTTATGAAGAAAAAATTTAAATGTAAAGACTGCAGTGGCTGATCATAACTCCCAAACCCTGAAAGTTAACCATGAAAAGCTAACAATAATAAAAATATTTCTTCATGGATACTAAGAAACACTTGCCTAGCTTTTAGATCAAGGAGGAAATAAAAATTGAAAGTAGGAATTGGCTACAAAGTAATGAAGGGGGAGAACTTTATTCTAAGTCCTCTGGGACACAGCTAAGCTATCCTTGTAGCAGAATTGCAGAAAGACTAAGAATGCTTCCATTGAGAATTCAACCTAGAAAATAAGAAAAATAAGAAAGTGTAGGAAAGCATTTTAGGCAAGCAGTAAAATAAAATCAGTGTAAGGATGAATGAAAAGGATCTACCAGCAAGAAAACATACCTTTGAGCATAAATGAAACAAATTAGCATATATCTTTTTTTTTTTTTTGTCTTTTTCCTTTTTATCGTACCAGGGATTGAACTCACAACTCCCTGCTTGCAAGGCAGGCACTTATGCCACTGAGTTAAATCCCCAGCCCCATTAACATATATCTTGAAATATTTTTGAAGTAGTGGAATAGATAATTTGGGAAATTATTTGAACTTCTCCCTACTTATCCATCTGCTCTTTCTCTCTCTTTTTCCCTCCCTCCCTCTTCCTCCCTCTCAGCTATACTTAAGATTGTGTGTCTGACTTACTTCAATGAAAATTATGTTCTCAAGTTGCATCCATTGACCCCTGAATGCCTCGAGTTTATCTTTATGGCAGAGTAGTACTCCATTGTGTATAAATACGTTATCCTCATCTGTTTATCAGTTGATGAACATATATGCTGTTTCCAAGACATAGCTATTATAAACGACACTGCTATCCCTATTTCATTTATATTACTAGTTTTCCTTTGCTGACTGAAAAGAAACTTGTGGCCTTTTATTTGTTTGTTCCTTCTTTGGGAACATCTTGTGTTCTCAGGAACATTTTGGCTATTGTTTTAAGGTCATGATACACTGTGTTTTAATTTATTCTCTAATGATTTCATTATGAAATTCTGTTTCATCTTTTCATGGAGTGCTTTTTATATATTCTTTATTAATCTCTGAAAACAGCTGAGGGAATGACGTCTTCTCCAACAGGGCAGCTGCCACACTGGACTTCAGGTGCCAGGATTGTCCTTACTGACACTGAAAATTCATCTCAGGTAGAGGGGCGCGCGCGGGGGGGGGGGTACATTCAGAGACCCCCAGTCCTACATAATTAAACTGCAACGTGCCACAGAGCTGGGGATCGCTGCAGAACGATTTATTGGGGCCTGTCGTGGGGCAGAGGAGGCGACCCAGGCACACGTGGGTAGGTGGCGGGTGCTCCGGAAACGCAGGGCCAAGGGACCCACGGAGAGGAGGGGATGGCACCGCGCAGGGGCCGGGACTGGGGCAGGCGGAGGGCGGCAGGGACTTGGCCACCTGCGCGCATGTGGCAGCGCACGTGGCAGCCCGGTGGCCCAAGGCGGCGCGGCCAGCACGCCTAGGTGCTCCCGAGGACCACGGCGGCCAGGACCGAGGAGGCCAGGAGGAGCAGGTGGAGGCGGAGGAGCAGGGCGTCCGCCAGGGGGCCGCAGCGCACCCACAGCTCCGCAAGGCGCCCGCAGGACCTGGACAGCCGCTCGGCTCTGTCCCTGGGGGCCCGGGGGCCTTCACAGCCGCCGAGTCTCCCGGCTCCTCCGGGGCTGTGGAGAGGACGGAGGCTCAGCGCGGGGCGCGGGGCGCAGGGCGGGGCCCTCACCTGGCCCAGGCGTGCAGGGGACACCCGAGCTCTGGCACCCGCTGCGGAGCTCCGGGGAGCTGCGGCTCCCGGGCCAGGCGCAGCAGCAGGCGCAGCAGCCGCAGCCGCCGCAGCCGCAGCGACAGTAGCAGGGAAGGAGCGTGCGGGGGGGGGGGGGGGCGCTGCGCCGGGACAGCGTGCAGCAGGTGGGCAGTGCAGATGGTCTCCAGCAGGCTGGCCACCATCCGGGACAGGAACAGGCACTTGTGGGCAATGCAGCTCGGCGTCTGCACCTGGCTCACCTAGCTTTCCCTGCTTCAGGGGACAGCAGGGCCTGCACCTCCCAGCCCCCTCCTTCGCTCCCCGCTGCCTTGGCTTCCCTGCACCGTGGAAGGGGCCCTACTGATGAGGGAGCTGCCGCTGCCGAAGGGGAGCAGGTCCTTCATGGTGAGCAGGAAGACATGGAAGGCCTGCAGCAGGGCCGTCTTGAAGGGGGCGCTGTTTACGTTCTTTGCCAGCAGGAGGAAGCTGAGGGTGTCTTTGGCCACCAGGAAGCTGCTGGGCACCAGGAGGTGCAGGACATAGAGCCGAGGCCTGCGTCTGATGGCCACCTGGTGGGGAGGGAAGGAGGGCAATAGATGTGGGCTGTGGAGGAAATCCCAAATCCAGCAGTAACAATTTGCTGGCTGAACTTGCAGGGACTGGGTCTGACTGTCTTTTTCCGGGGTCAGCTGTCCATCCTGGGCTCTGGAGTGGTGGGGAGTGCAGCACCCTAACCTGGTATGTGACCTGGGTGAGGAGGACAGAGACAGAGGCAAAGGCAAAGAGAGAGAGTTAGCACCCCATGAGCCTTACAGAGGAGGGGGTTCTGGCCTTGGCTGAAGGGATAAGGCAGAGAGACCGAGACACCCCGAAAGTCAGGGAGAATTCTAGGCAAGAGTAGAAGCAAAGAAGAGGGCGAAATGCAAAGACCTCAGAGCTCACACAGAACACAATCTGGTCGTACAGGTTGGTGCCCAGGGCGGTCTCTGGAGCAGCCTGGGTGATGCTCATCAGCTCCCACTCCCGGTGCAGACCTGGACCATGTCCCTGGATGTGGCTTCTATTTTCCCGCACTTCTTTCTCCAGGCCCAGCAGCAAGTATCTGCTGAAAGGGAGAACCACCCAGATCATCTTCCAAGGATACTACCTGGAAAACTGGGGAGGCTTAACTGCATTCCGTCATTCACAGATATTTGGGGGGTATCTACTGTACTCCAAGGATTCTCTAGGAGTCAGGAATGGCAACGAGATATTATGGCTTAACTCTAACCAGTGTGCCTCCATCTTGTTCTGTATGCGCCGTCTTGATAGGGTTAAATTTCTAATCCTTCCACATGTTATTGCTAGCGAGCTGTTCCGAGATAATTAACTCCCCTACCCCCTTTCCGCATGTTATTGCAGGTGTGCTATTCCGAGATAATGTTTAACCACAGAATGGGAGTAGCAGAATGCACCAAGAGCTCCAGATGTTATCAGAACTAAGTCAACTAAGTCGACAGCTTTACAGCTTTGCAGTTTATAGCTTTAAATATCTCTCCCTTAGTCTGTTAGGCACACAGTCTCTGGGTTGATCCTAAGGGGGCTGCGTCGCCAGGCCTGGAATAAAGCCTTTGCTCCCAATTTCTTGCTTCCTCGAATTTTATTCTAGGGTCTGTGTTATCTCATTTGGGGGCCCGTCTGGGATGGAAGCAGGACTCCTGACTCAATTCTCTACACCTAAAAGTAAGTACTCTGGAGGGTTTGTTTGGACCACAGTCAATTTGTACTTTTGGAGGGGACGCCCTCAATTTGGGGAGCAAGGACCTCTCAAGGGCAGAGTCAATTGGTTTTTGGGATGAGCCTCGTCCGTTTGTGACTCTTTCCCGGGTGGGAGCTGCTCCGTTGGCTAATTTGATAATTCCTCCAGATCCCAAAATTTGACCTATTTTTGAGCAAAGGCCATTTTTGCTGCAACTTGTCTTGTCTTGTGTATCTGTCTGTATGTCTATTTGGTCTAACTGTTCTCCTTTTGATTACCCAAATCTAACAGAACATTTTCTCCTAGGAAGCCCTTCTATGAGCCCAAAATGGACAAAAGGGATTTTGACCATTATTTTCGTCTCATTGTTGTTCTGTCTCTTCCTCCTAATCTTATCTCTGTCTCTTAGATTCTCCCACAGGAGAGAAGAACTGACATCTTTGCCGGCCATGGGCAAACTGAATCTAAATCCAGCATGCCCCTTAGCTTTGTGCTTGATCACTTCAAAGAATTCAAGTGGAGAGCTAAGGGATATGGGGAAAAGGTTTATAAAACCACATTAACAACTTTTGTCACACAGGAATGGCCATTAAGGACCCAGGGGGTCTGGCCCCCCTCCGGGTCTTTTTAACATGGAGACAGCATAAGCCGCTTGCCAGTATGTTTTTGGGCTCCCTGTTCACCCTGATCAAATTGTCTATATTCAGATCTGTATAGACATAATTTATGCTGCCCTTTTCTGGATTAAGCCCTCTTGTGTTGGAGTCATTGCAGCCCTCAAACCGAAAATAAAACTCAAAAAGCCGCTTTCTGAACCTACCGCGCCTCTGGTCCTGCCCTCCGAAGAAGACCCCCTTGACCTGCTGGAGGCACTCCCGCTGTTTCCCCCGTACTCCACCTCTGACCCTCAACCTGATTCCACTGCTCCGTCCCTGCCACCTAGTACCGTTTGCACCCGCTGACACCTGTGACCTGAGGCGTTTTCAGAGCAGAGCTCTGAAGCGGCTCCATTTGTCCATTACGGGAGGTCCCCACTCCAAGTGGGGGTTCAATGTTTATATATTCTCCTTTCTCATTTTCAGACCTTTATAATTGGAAAACCCAGAGCCCTCCTTTTTCAAAGGATCCTGAAACTCTGATTAACCTTTTAGAATCTGTATTCTCTACTCATCGCCCCACCTGGGACAATTGTCAACAGATCCTGCTCATCCTCTTCATGGCTGAAGAGAGACTGCGCATTTGCACTCTTGGGCAAAAAGCTTGAGGGATTTGAGGAATGCTCCTCAGCCAGTTAATAGAGATAGCACAGAAGGTTTTTGAAAATAGAGAAAATTATGGGGCTGGGGATTTAGCTCAGTGGCATAAGTGCCTGCTCTGCAAGCACATGGTCGTGAGTTCAATCCCTGGTACTGATATAAAAAAAAAAAAAGAAAGAAAATAGAGAAAATTTACAAGAAGCCACCAACAAGAAAATGACCAAAGTGTGAGAATTACTCAGTGAAAGAGAAACTAAAAAGCTGGCCAATACCAATAAAAAGGAAGCCCAGGGACAATGGCCTCCTTTAGATAAGGAACAATGTGTGTATTGCAAAGAGATGGGACATTGGCGAAAGGATTGCCCAAAGTTAAAGGCTAAACTTGAGAAGCAAAGGCTTTGTTGTCTCAGCAATGAGGTCAGGGCTCCTTGCCACCCCCCCCCTCAGTCCCTGATAACTCTTCAGGTGGGGGGGGGTTACCAGGTGGACTTCCTGCTAGACACAGGAGCCACCTATTCTGTACTAATCAAACTGACCAAAGACTCAGTTAATGTAATAGGAGCCACAGGGGGACGAAGATCATACCCAAAGGTAAGCGCCAGTTTAGCTCGACCGGGCCACAAGTTGGTCCAGCATGATTTTCTATGGGTACTGGAGTGTCCAGACCCCCTCCTAGGATGAGACCTCCTTCATAAATTGCAAGTGCAAATTGATTTCTTGACAAATGAACCAAGACTAAGATTGGGAACAGGTTCAACCCAAGGTCCTGAAAAGAGTGTTAGAGTTTTAGCCCTTGTCCCAGAAGGATAAAATTACCGTCTGCTGGAAAATTTGTCTGATTCACCTAGGCGCCACCTACGGACTTAGAACTAGAATTATTAAACAAATGGAGACAAGAAATCCCAGAGGTCTTGGCTGAAACTAACCCCCCAGGACTGGCGGTCAACCAAGTGCCCCTTGTAGTAGAACTCCTACCCCAAGCGCTTCCTATTTGTTTGTGTCAATATCCAATAAGTCTCCAAGCCCAAAAGGGAATTAAAGTTCACATACGGAGAGTAAGAGACAATGGTATCCTCATTCCTTGTGTCTCCCTTTGGAACACGCCTCTGTTTCCAGTCCAGAAACCAGGGACAACTATTGCCCTGTGCAAGACCTCTGGGAGGTCAACAGGTGTGTATTAACTTTACATCCAACTGTGCCTAACCCCTACACTTTACTCAGAGTGCACCTAGTACTCTGTATTGGACCTCAAGGATGCCTTCTTCACTCTACCTCTTGCCCCAGTGAGTCAACCCATTTTTGCCTTTGAATGGACTGACTCAGATTCTGGGGTCATGGAACAACTGACCTGGACTCAGTTGCCACAGGGTTTTTATAAACTCACCCACTCTTTTTGATGAGGCCCTGGCCAGAGATCTCTTGGGGTTTCGCAAGGAACACCCAGAGGTGACACTTTTACAATATGTAGACGATCTGCTGATAGCCTCCCCCACTTTGGAGTCCTGTCGATAGGCCACAGGGGAGCTATTAAGAAGGTTGGGACAATTAGGCTACAAGGTTTCAGCCAAAAAGGCCCAATTGTGTCGCCAAACTGTGACTTATTTGGGCTACAAATTACAGAAAGGAAAGAGAACTCTATCTAAGGAAAAGGTCCAGGCCATATTATAGATTCCTATCCCAGAAACTAAAAACCAAGTACGAGAGTTTCTGGGGGCTGTAGGATACTGTAGGGTGTGGATTCTAAATTTTACTGAGATAGCGTGCCCCCTGTATGACTCCCTTAAGGGAGAAACTCAAAAATCTTTGGACTGGACAGATAAATGTGAACAGGCCTTACAGGAGCTCAAACGAGCCCTAACAGAGGCCCCAGCCCTGGGACTCCCTGATGTTACCAAGCCATTCACCTTGTTTATAGATGAACTCAGGGGCATTGCCAAAGGAGTCCTAACCCATGACATTGGCCCCTGGAAGAGACCTGTAGCCTACCTCTCTAGGCTACAGAGAGGTCCCCCTGCCTAAGAATACTAGCTGCTGTGGTGATGTTACTTAAGGAGGCTAAGAAACTCACTTTTGGACAAAAGATTTCTGTGGTGACCTCCCACAGTTTAGAAACTCTTATCAAGACCCCTCCTGAGAAGTGGCTCTCGAATGCTAGAATTCTGCATTATCAGGCTCTACTCCTAGACCCAGAGTTGGTGGTTTTTAAGATTTCCTCAGCCTTAATTCTATTAGAGATAGCGGGAGGCATTATGGTAACCATTGTTGATCACCTTGTATTATGCTTTTACATTATCTATTATGTCCACCCTTTTGATTTGATTGACTCTGTTCTGTTATGTCACATTTGGTTCCACTCCCTTCCAAAAAAGTAATAAGAACTGTGGGAGCAACAAAACCCAAAATGGGTAATTGTCATTGTACAAAAGAGAGGAAAAGAAAGTGCTCTAAACGATATAACTGCATGTATATATTAAGTGTATAAGATAGATAATGATATCACTGAGTTTTGTTGGATCGTTGAACAGAACTGTTTGCAGTTTCACTGTTGGAATGTCCACTTTATAAGCTTTAATTTTGTGACTTGAACAATTATTTCTAAGATGATAATATGTAATCCATTAACTAGTGATTTCCTACTGTTTATTTTTTTCTGTAAATCTGTATAACTTGTACCCTTTCTCTGCTTTTTTTTTTCTCCTTAAAAAAAAAAAAAAAGACTTCTTCAGCCTTAAACCCAGCCACCCTTCTGCCTGATGATGACCTTGGAACTCAAAATCTGCCTCTTCATGAGTGTGTGGACTTCCTTGGAACGCAGCAGAATCTACGGGCTGATCTTACCGACCAGCCCTTGGAGAATGCTGGTAACTACTTCACCGACAGGAGTAGTTTCATCCAGGATGGCAAACGAGTGGCTGGAGCAGCAGTGACCACCGAAAAGGAGGTACTCTGGGTTGAGTGGTTAGAGCCTGGCACGTCAGCCCAAAAGGCTGAGTTCATTGCTTTGACCGAAGCATTAAAGTTAGCCACCAGGAAGAGGGTAAATATCTATATCGGCAGTAGATATGCTTTTGCTACTGTACATGTACATGGAGCCATCTATCAAGAGTGAGTTCTCTTAACCTGACCTGGGACTAAGATAAAACATGCTCCACAGATTCTAGACTTGTTGGCAGCTGTCTGGCTACCTCAGCGGGTTGCTATTATTTGCTGCAAGGCTCATCAGACAGGAGAAGACCCCATCATCCAAGGAAATAATTTAGCAGGCCAAACCCCTTGAAAAATAGCAATCACATCAGAGGGGCCTACCAGAAGTAGCTGCCTAATGTTGGTTCCTCCCACATTATCAGAACCAGTTTATACAAAGAAAGACTCACAATTAGCATCTCAGCTTGGAGCAAAGCTCCTCACTCCAGGGGTTGGTACCAATTACCAGATAAGTGAGTGCTGTTGCCAGAGGCACTAGGATGTGAGCTGCTACACCAGGCTCACCAAACCACCCATTTAGGGGGAACCAAATTTGCTGAATTGTTCAGAACTCGGTTTTTTCATTCCAAAACTCTCCAAACTGACCACCTCTTTGTGCTCCACATGTCCACAGTGTCTGTTGGTAAACCTGACCAGGAGTTCACCAGTGAAAACTACCCGACATTGAGGAATGGCCCTAGGAGAACACTGGGAAGTAGACTTTACAGATATGGTAAAGTCTGGTTTACAGGGACACCGCTATCTCTTGTTATTAATAGATACTTTTACTGGCTGGGTAGAGGCTTTTCCTACTAAGCCCGAGTCAGCCTTAATGGTAACTAGAAAACTATTGCAAGAGATCATACCTCGATTTGGCCTTCCACTATCCATGGGGTCCGATAATGGCCGTCACTCTGACAGTAATAGGAAATTCAAAGTATGCCCAAGCTTCATGTAATGGCACAATTGGTAAACCAGTGTGCTGGAGTAAGGTAGCCCCAATACATGTCTCTGATGGAGGCGGTCCACAGGATAAGACCAGAGAACTCATGGTTGAAGAACGGGTTAAGCAGATTATAGAGATAACATTTCCCAAGGTGCATTACCACCCCTTGATGCTGCCTAAATCACGGGGAATTGATTTGGATGCTCAGACTTCTGATATTCTAGGAGCCACTTATAGGGCCTTGAATGCTTCCAACCCAACTTTAGCTAAAGATTGTTGGCTATGCATGGCACAAGGCTCTCCCATGCCTCTTGCGATCCCCTTCAATGCCCCCCTGACCACACTGGAAGAACCAGATCACTTAAGTTGTAGTGCTGATCTCCCCTTAAGAGTACAATCAGGAGGGTTTAAAGACTCTCCCTGTCTCCAAGGAAGTTTTTATAACGGTACTTCTGACATTGACATGGGGTTCGTTGCTTTTGCTAACTGTAGTTCTATAATTAACCAGACTACCTCTCTTTGTCCTGCCAAAGGATAAGTGTTCATCTGTGGAGGCAAACTGGCCCATACTTTCCTCCCAACCAACTGGTCAGGAATATGTGTTACAGCTGTCCTGTTGCCTGACATAAAGGTTTTACCTGGGGATGATCCTGTCCTCATTCCTAGCCTGGATTACATTACAGGCCACTCAAAGAGGGCAATTCAATTTATCCCTTTATTGGTGGTCTGGGAATATCAGGAGCCCTGAGTATGGGGGCAGCAGGAGTGGGGATCTCTGTTCATCCAACCAGGTCATCAATGATGTGCAGGCATTATCTAGTACTGTTCAGGACATTCAAGATCAAATAGATTCATTAGCTGAAGTAGTTCTTCAAAATAGAAGAGGGCTAGACCTCCTGACAGCAGAATAAGGAGGGATCTGTGTGGCATTGCAAGAACAATGCTGTTTTTATGTAAACAAGTCTGGCATTGTTCGAGATAAGATCAGGAGATTGCAGGAAGATCTGGTAAAAAGAAGAAGAGAGCTATTTGAAAACCCCCTTTGGAGTGTCTGGAATGGAATCCTGCCTTATTTTCTACCCTGGCTTGGACCATCGCTAGGGTTGCTACTCTTGATTTCAGTAGATCCTTGTATAATCAATAAACTAACTGCATATATTAGACAACAAATGCAGAACATAAAGCTGATGATGATCCGTCAGCAAGCCTATGAACTTATTCCCCACGATACATAACATTAGGCCAAAGATTTGGCTTCAGTCACAACATCAGAGGGGAATGTTATGGCTTAACTCTAACCAATGCACCTCCATCTTGTTCTGTATGTGCTGTCTTGATAGGGTTAAGTTTCTAATCCTTGTAAAAGCTTAAGTTTCAGCTTCTTGTAACTCCCTACCCCTTTTTGAATGTTATTACTAGCGAGCTGTTCTGAGATAATTAACCCCTACCCTCTTTCCACATGTTATTGCACGTGTGCTATTCCGAGGTAATGTTTAACTACAGGATGGGAATAGCAGAATGCACCAAGAGCTCCAGATGTTATCAGAATTAAGTCAACTAAGTCAACAGCTTTACAGATTTGCAGCTTTTAGCTTTAAATATCTCTCCCTTAGTCTGTTAGGCACACAGTCTCTGGGTTGATCCTAAGGGGGCTGCGTTGCCAGGCCTGGAATAAAGCCTTTGCTCCCAATTTATTGCTTCCTCGAATTTTATTCCAGGGTCAGTGCTATCTCAGAGCAAGACAGAGTCAGCTCCTTATGGAAAATAGCTAAGCATCCATAGAGCCTGAGTGCTGCACCCACGCTTCTCGGTCCCTTGTTACTCAGGGTTTTTTCTGTTTTCTGTTGCTTCATGAGTTGCTCTCCTTAGAGTCTTCTACTCCTTGGTGGGGCACCAGGCACCCCATGGCTGCACCTCACCTGTGTGGAGGTGTGAGTGGAAGGTGAGCATGCAGTTTTGCTGGTCAAAGGGGAAGTAGAAGATGTCCAGGCTGCAGAGACTGACCACCTTGATGGGTTTCTTGTATCAGACTTGACCTTCACTACTCAGGAATGTGGTGAGCCCCCTGGGGGCCCTCTCCACCTCTGTGCTATAGGACAGAAGAGGCAGGAGGCGGGGCTGTGGTTTTTGTTACCATTTGGGTCAGTTCTTTGCCATCTAAGAAGCGTCTACAGCCTTCCACCCTAAATGTGCCACTCTAGCAGTCCCCATGGTCCATGGGGAGCTCTATGGGAATGAGGAGATGGGTTTTCCTCTGGCTTTCCATGGCCCCTAATATGCACAACTCGATGACCACAGTGTCAGGGAGCCACAGGTTTCAGGCCACCAGGCTCATTTGGTGACACCCTCACACTCCTCCAGGTGCCAGCAGAGCAGGAGATTATCCCAGACCTAGACAGAGCCCAGGGGGAGGACAGGATCTTGAGACACATCAGAGTTATCTTCTCCTGCCCTTTGATTTCTTTTTTTTTTAAATTTTATTTAAGGAGAAAAGAAAAAAAAACAGTGAAAGGGTACAAGTTATACAGATTTACAGAAAAAAAAATGAACAGTAAGAAATCACTAGTTAATGGATTACATATTGCCATCTTAGAAATAATTGTTCAAGTCACAAAATTAATGGACATTCCAACAATGATACTGCAAACAGTTCTGTTCAATGATCCAATAAAACTCTGTGATATCATTTTCTATCTTATACACTTAAATATACATGCAGTTATATAGTTTAGAGCACTTTCTTTTCCTCTCTTTTGTACAATGACTATTACACATTTTGGGTTTCATTGCTCCCACGGTTCTTATTGCTTTTTTGGAAGAGAGTAAAACCAAATGTGACATAACAGAACAGAATCGGTCAAGTCAAAAGGGTGGACATAATAGATAATGTAAAAACATAATACAAGGTGATCAACAATGGTTACCATAATGCCTCCCGCTATCTCTAATAGGATTGCCTATATCCTTAGTTACAATACAATTGAACAAAACAGTAAAGAACAAAACCAACTAAACCAAACCATTGGAGACATTGTAGGTCTTCAAAAGTAGATAAAAGTCAATGAGAATGGGCGTTATAATGAATCTCATTATCTTCACAGCTGATGCCTAAACTTTCAAACCTGATACTATCCAGCAAAACAGAATAGGGGAACATCAGTCAAAAACAAGATGGTGAGAGTAATACAGGGCTTCAAATCGAGATAATAGAAAGTCAAAGTGGGTTACTATAATATATCCTGCTATTTTTCCCTTTAATTAAATGGATAAAAATAAAAAAGTAAATAATGGAGTGGAGATTGGGATAAAAGAGGGCATAACAGCGAAACAGCGCAGATCAAAACATAACCATTTAAGCAGAATAGGGTTTCACCACCAGATAATTCCGACCCAAAAGAAGTTACCATATTGACTCTTTCCTTGAAGTCCTTGAGTACAACTTCATATACTGTAGCATTAAGTATATCAAAACAATGTAAAACCATTTAAGAGAATGACAGCATTACAGAGTATTTAGAATCAACTAACAGAAAATATGGTTTCTGTATAATCTCCTTGTCTTTAAAAGGTTTTTGCTTATACTATTGTACATAATAAAATCCAATAAGATACAACCTATTTAGACCATTGGAGACAGAAGAACAAAAGCTAGATGAGACTTCAAAACAAGATGATACTAAATCAGTATTACCTATTAAGATGTCATTTTCTCCAAAATAGCTGTTCCTATCATCCAATCTTCTCTGTCTCATTTCTGTTGAGCTCTTTTTCTGTCAGTAGCTGTCAGTTTGTCTTCTTCATTTTGTTCTCTGCTCCATTCGTTGTGGCCTCCCCGCCACTATTTCTGGGTTCTTTGTATTTTTCTTTTTTTAGAATATCCTGCAATACTTTCTGTAGAGTTGAATTGGTGGTTGCAAATTCCCCCAGTTCCTCTTTATCCTGGAAGCACCTCGTTTTTCCATCAATTTCCAGGGACAGTTGTGCAGGATATCTCAATCTTGGCTGGAGATTATTATCTTTCAAAGTTTGAATTATTTCCCCCCATGCTCTTCGTGATTTGATGGTTTGTGCAGAGAAATCTGCTGTAATTCTGATGGGTGTTCCCTTGTAAGTGGTCTGTTTCTTGTCTTTGACAGCTTTTAATATTCTGTTCTTGTATTGAATTTCTGGAATTTTTATTATTATATGCCTGGGTGTTGCTCTGTTTGGGTTGTAGGTAGCTGGGGTCCTGTATGCCTCATACATCTGAGTATCTTTACCTTTTGCTAAATTAGGAAAGTTCTCCTGGATTATTTCTGTGAGTAGCTTTTGTAGTTCACTTGTTTGTGTCCCTACTTCTTCTTTTATGTTCTTAATCCTTAAGTTATGGCTCCTCTTATCATCTTCTTGTCTTTGTATTATTGCTGTTTGTTTCTTTGTTATTTTTAAGAAGTTTTTCATTTCATTCTCCCATATTACAAGTCTGCCCTCCAGTTCAGATAGTCTGTCCTTAGTTTCTTTCAAGCTGTTATGCCAGTCTTGGATAGACTTCTTAGTTTCTTGATAGTCCCTTTGAACCTGCTTCATGTACTCTATGCTTTCTCTGTTTTCTCCATCAAACAATTCTCCCCTCTTTTTCTGTTCTTCCATTCCACCATCTGTTTTTTCCTGGGTGGTGCTTAGCATTTCTCTAACTATTCTGCATACTTCTAGCTTCAGGTCGTTGATAACTTCATTCCTGAATTGGTCTATGAGGCTCTCTATATGGCGCTGTATGTCTATTGGTGTGGTGTCCGCTATTGCCTGTTTCTCAGAATTGGGGGCCGAGGAGCCTTTCTTGTTGCTGCCTTTTCCCATATTCTCTGTTCCTTATATATGCAAGCTTACATAGGAGGCCCAGCTTCCCTCCCTGTCAGCCACAGCCTGATCGAATTGTGCTGGCTAGGTGTTCCCGCCCACCGCAGCGCACCAAGGAGTTACGGACTAGGCAGCCTACGCGGGAGTCACCCCTCCGGGCCACCGTCAGGCTCTGGGATCTGGGTTGGGCCAGCCTACCGGTCTGCCAGCAGCGTCACGCAGGCCAGGCCCTTTTCACCAATTCCGTCTGAGAGGGGAATGTGTGGCTGGAGTCGCCACCGCGCCCTGCTCCCGCAGGACTGCCCGAGCCCAGAAAGTCCTCCGCTGGAGTCAAACTGTGGTAGAGTGTCAGTTTCTCTCACTCACCTCACCACAAGTCAGTGTACGCCTCCCTGTCCGTCCTGTTTTCGACTCCGTTCGCAGACTCCCGTTCTCAGAGCTTCCGCGTGTCTCTCTCCTTGCTGAGCCAATGTAGAGGCAGCCAGCCGCGGCGCGGCAGGAAACCCAAATCGCGGCTTCCAATGGCGCGGGGTCTTGCCTCCACACCGAGGCTTTTCTGTTCCTGTTTTAGCACCAGGACTGCATTCCAAGTTGGTTTCTCTCAGCCCAGTTTGTTCCTGAGTGAGCAGAACATATCTCTACCAGCTTATGTCTCCTTAGTCTGCACCATTCCTGACTTCTGAACCAAGCCTTTCAGAGAGCCTCCGTAGTATCTGCTATCTGTCCGCCATGTTCTCCCGGAAGTCCCCTTTGATTTCTTTATCTTATGAGTTTTAAATTTTTTTCTTTTTTTTGAAAAGGGTATCATCTACTTTATTTTACTTTACTATGTCAATGTATTAAAAGTGCTTTTGAAGGAAATATTTTTTTATTTAAAGAAAGAAAAGAAAATTTAAAAAACATAGAAAAAAAGAGAAAAAGGTAGAATACAGAATTGAAAAAAATTAACATCATAAAATTGCTAGTTGATACATCATATATTGTAATCTTAACAATAGTTGTTAAAGTTACAATATCAAGGCATAAAAAGTGGCTAGACACTCAAACATTGACAGTGCATTTTTTTATTTAAAAATCATGAATATTGTATTTCAGGAAAATAAAAAAATAACATAAATGTAATAACATAATAAACATTTGTGAATCTACCACCCGAACTGCAGAGTCTCCATATTTTGCTATATTTTACTTTTTCTTCTAAGAAATCAGAATGATAACTATCTGGCTTTTGTTTGTTTGTTTGTTTGTTTTACACCAGGAATTGAACTCAGGACCTTATGTTGCCAGGCAGGCACTGTGCTGCTGAGCTATATCCCTGGCCCCAGAATAATAACTAAAGTTCAACCTCTCTGGATGTATTTCTTTATAAAATATGGTCTTTGCTAGGGCTGTGGAGGGGCTCAGCAGTAGGCATTTGCACGGGATTCCCCAGGCCACGGGTCTGCAGTCTTTGGCACCACAAAACAAAACAAACTCATGAACTCTGGTCCCTTGGCTTTCATGCTTCAATGGGAAATGGCTGCTGACCAGTGAAAGGATTTTGCCCCAGTTGGGACACTGTAGCGGGTGAAGCTGGGAGGCGGAACCAAGAGGCTCTATCTTGAGGTCATCTTCCCCACCCCTAGGCACTGTCTTGCAAAATGAATACCAATGGGCTACCTGTGTATCACTAATGCCCCTTAGGCACCACCCCAAACCTAAGCTAGATGTCTGCCCCCACACCACTTGTCTGCCAGAGAGAATGCCAGCCCCTGGAGACAATGCCAGATCCTGGAGGGTCAGGTGGTCTCTCCCCACATTCTTAAAATAAAGGTCATTTATGTTTCATACTTCTTATATTTTCAGCCGTGCCAAAAGTCTATCAACCTGGAACCTCTCCTTTTTGCAGTATTAATGAGAGCCCAAGCTGAACAGTCTGTCACTCAGCCTCCTTGAGCTAGAAGTTCCTTCGTGTGAAGTAAGTGGGCATCACATGGACTAGGATGCAAGGAAGGATTTTGCAAACTGTAATGTTTGGGGATCTAGTGAGGTCTTGGAAGCCAACAATCCTAGCTCTCCTTTATGTGGCTGGGAACCCTCTCTGAAAAGTGTTTTCAAGGACTGTCCACCCAGGGTGGGTTGTCTGGTCTCAGGGCACTTTCAGTGTCAGCAGCTGCAGTTTGTGGAGCCAGACAGAATGGGGCTCTGTGCATATTAAGTAATGGTTTGTATGAGGTCAGTGTTTTCAAACATCTCTGTGCATACAAAACACCTGGTGGTCACAATGAACTGCGACTCCAGTTCAGTAGGCAGCATGACTAACCACTCCTGGTTTGCTAGGCACTTGCTTGGCTTAACGTTGTATATCCATGTCCTGTGAACTCTACCGTAGGGGCAGGCTGGGACAGCTGGTCATCCTAGGTGGAGCCTGAGATCCAGTACATTCTAGGGGCTTGAACTCAGGGTTTACTTTTTTATTTTGTTTGTTTTTTGAGACAGGGTCTTACCCTGCAATTCAGGCTGGCCTTATCTAACTGTGTAGCCCAGGCTGGCCTCAAACTCATGGTGATCCTCCTGCCTCAGCCACCTAAGTGCTGGGATTACAGGTGTGCGCCATCATCATCCCTGGCTCTCCAGAGCATCTCTGATAAGCTTCCAGATGGTGCAATGAGCCTGTGCTATGGGTCTAGGAACTTGAAAGGCAAAGTTCAGGATTGTCACTGTCTCTCCCCAGCTCCTTCCTTCCCTCCCATCAGGCTTTCAAATTGGAAATTTAATTTGTTTAGCTTCATTTCCCACACGCCCACTTTGTTTTCTAATCCATTCACTTTTGTTGGGGAGGGATACCAGGAACTGAACTTGGGATTCTGCACTTGCCAGGCAGTTGCTTATGCCACTGAACTATATCCCTGGCCCCATCCCATAGATTTTCACATGCTGTGCTCTTTATTTCTAAATAGTTCATAACTTCTATTGAGTCATTTTGTTTTTTCCTTAGTTCAAAATACTTGGAAGTTTAATTTTAAATTCCTAAGAAACAAGGTTTTCTTGGTAGGAAGGCTATCCCTTTGTAGTTAGCTTCCATGGTCTTATGGTCAGAGAATGTGATCTAGATAATTTCTTTTTCAGTTTTTTCTTGGTTTCTTGTGGCATTTTTTTTTTTTTTTGCTCTGCTTTGTGAGACAAGGATTTCACTATGTAGCCCAAGGTGACCTTAAACTCACGATCCTCCTGCCTCAGCCTCCTGAGTAGCTGGGATCACATGCTTGTACCACTGTGCCCTGCTCTCTTTGATTTTTAAAAGCAACATAGGGAAACCTCTCAGCATTATTACAGATTTTTCAGTTTCTCCTTCCTGTATTCTGAGATGACATGTCAGGTACATAAAAGGTCCCAGTTACTGTGTCTTTGTTTAAAATCTTTCCCAAGTTCGATAAAGAGAGAAAATAAAGAGCTGACCGTACCATTTCTAACCACAGGAATGAGGTCCTGAGCTGCAGCTGTTCGTCCTGCCAAAGGTCCTGTTTCCAGCAAGCCACCCCGTCAGATGCCTGCCCACTCCCCCACCCCACCCTGCTCCTTATTTTTGTTTATTAACTCCCTAGAATATAAAAGTGATGCCGTGATCAAGGCCACTATTACAGGTCAAGGACAAAAGCTTGGTCAATATAGATTCATCAGGCTGTGGGCAAGAAAGGACCCCACAGACTACAGTAGGAAAAATACAGTGTTTTCCATGTGCTGTTGTGTCTCACCCAGAGGAGGGGCAAAGAGTTTTTGCTATTTTTTTCTTTTTCCTTTTTTTTTTTTTTAAGACAGGGTCTTATTGTGCAGTTCAGGCTGGCCTTGGGCTCACTTGGTAGCCAGGCTGGTCTTGAACTTGCAGCAATCTTCCTGCCTCAGCCACTCGAGTGCTGGGATTACAGGCATGCAAGTTTTGTTGTTTTGCTTTGAGATTCTCTGTGCAGGGGTTTCGAAAGGGCGTAATAGTGTGTGAAAGCTTGGGGTTTGGCTTACCTGAGGCTGGGGAAACACTAGGGGTAGCCAGGGGACTGAGGGGTCTCTACTCACCACATCTAGGATGGCAGTTATGGTGAAGGAGAGGTTGACCGGATGGGGACAGCAAAGCTGATGACTGGAGGGAAGGGCTTGCTACCAAACCTGGAATCCAGTTGATGGTGAAACAGTGACCTGGTCCTGTCGTGGACAGCAAGAGTGTGAAGTTGTTCAGCATGCAGCTAAGTGAGACCACAGTCTGAAGTCGGTGGTGGCCAGGGCCCTCGAGGAAGTCAATGCTGACAAAATAGACATCTGAATGGTGGCTGGAGGTGCACTTGAAAAGGCCTGGCCTCAAGATGTAGAAGCCACGACCAGGCCTGTCCGCCCCTCTAACACATAAACAAGAACCTGAGATCATTCTGTGATGAACACCACATCCTTTTTCTCATTGAATCCCCACAACCTTGCAGGATGGAGAAACTGGAGCTCAGGGAAGTTAAGGAGTCTTTAAGATTGTGCACTCGGCAAAGGGAAGAACCAAAATTCCAACCCATCCCATGTTCTTTCTGCGATACAGTGTTACCCTACACCTTCACCCTGGTGTCTGCTTACCCCAGAAGAATCTGGATCTGGCGGGTTCACGGGGCAGTTCTGGGATTATAGGGATGCATCACCATGTCTAGCTGAAACAATTTCTTACCAGTGCACAGAGTGGGTATTTCCACCAAGATGTCCAGTGGGCTCACCTGTAAGCCAAATAAAATCTTATCAGATTCCTGGCCATCTTAAGTCTGGGCGGTTCTTTGCTTGACTACCAACAGAGAACTCTGTCAATGTTGCTCTTCTGAATTTAATTTTGCTCTCTACTTGATTTTTGCCATTGCTGTTCTGGTGCTTTTGGTACTGAACTGGACCAAAGCTTTGCACATACTGGGTCAGTGCTGTACCCTGCACTATATCCCCAGCCCTTTTAATTGTTATTTTGATGCACAATCTCACTAAGTTATGCAGGCTCACTCTAAACTTGTGATTGTCCTGCTTCGGCCTCCTGAATAGATGGGTTACAGATATGCTCCACTGCACCCAACTTTTTTTGGTTTGATTATAGCTTAAAAATGACTCCACTGGGGCTGGGAATTTAGCTCAGCTGCATAAGCGCCTGCCTTGCAAGCAGGCAGTCATGAGTTCAATCCCTGGTACCGATAAAAAGAAAAAAAAAAAAAAAAAAAGAAAGAAAAAGACAAAAAAAATGACTCCACTTTGGAAATTTGATTTTATGATGTGACAGTTTGGTGATAGCTGAAAATGAATTGATGGTTTACATATATCTTATCCAGGCGAGTGCAAGATGACAGATTCTGGTTTATTAGTCTTTGCTGTTTGTTTACCCATTGTTTCTTTCAAGCTCAAATCAGTCAGTACCCACTGTAGAGAGCAGCTCTGTGGTATGGAGCACTGAGTTTGATAACCCTGTGTTTACTCTTGACCTGTGGCTGAGATCCTACGCTGCAAGCTGTGAGTGCTCTGTTTGGTTGTGTGATTTTGGTAATTCAGAGCTGCTTTACCTCTTGTATAAAAATGTTGTTTTCTGTGGTGTCTGTAACATGTATTGTTAAGAAGATCTGTTCTACTGGACTTACAAATAAGGACTTATAAAAACTAAATATTTTGGGGGCTGGGGATTTAGCTCAGCGGCATAAGCACCTGCCTTGTAAGCAGGCGGTCGTGAGTTTGATCCCCAGTACCGATAAAAAAAAACTAAATATTTCTCAAAATTCAAAAAAAAAAAAAAAAACAAAATTGTGAAAGAATTTTGGTCTAGACAGGACACTAGCCGGTAAAGCCTCAATCGGAACCAAGGAGCTCCATCTTCCCCACCCCTAGGAATTTACCTGTGACTGTATCTTCCCTACCCCTAGGAATTTACCTCTGGCACCAAACAAGTGCCAAAGGGCTACCTGTGCATCACTAATGCCCCTTAGGTTCTACCCCAAACCTAGGCTGCTTATATGCCTCTACTCCATGTGTTCCACGGAGAGATCGCCGACCCTGGGGGAAGATGCCGCACCCCAGGGTGTCTGGGGGGTCCTCTCCCTGCATTCTCAAAATAAAGGTCATTTATATTTCATACTTCTTATCTTTTCAGCTGCACTGCTGGTGCCCCACAGTTCTATCAAATTGAACTTTCTATACTTTCAATGTGCAAGATTTAAAAAGCATTCTGACAAAAACTTTGCAGAGCACTGTAGCGGATGCCTGTAATCTCAGCACATGGGGGTTGAGGCAGGAGGATCACTGAGAATTTGAGGCTAGCAGGAGCTGTATAGTGAGTTCAAGGCCAGCCTGAAGTACACAGTGAGATCTTGTCTCAAAAAACAAAAGAAAAACAAAAGAAAACAAAACTGACTCAAATCCCAACCCCCCCCATACAACAATAACTATAAGAACAAAAGAGACAAAACCCCCCCAAACTTATAGTTATTTTAAGAATCAAAGTTTACATGATTTAGGCAAATTTTTGGCAAATAAAACTTGTTCAATAAATTTGATTTAATAAAAAACTTTATTTTACCTGACTTGTCCGTGTGATAGAGGCTTACTTTTTCTTACTTTATTTGATTTTTTTTTTTTTTCGTGGCACTGAGAACCAAACTCAGGAACTCATGTTTGCCAATCAGATACCATTCTATGAGCTAGGTCCCTGGTTGCACATGTTCTTAAATTTGTAAATTTACTCATTAAATGAGCGAGCATTACTCCTTAATAGTTTACGTTTATGAAAATACAAATTTATGTTTAACTGAATTGATTATTATGACAATAATAATTTTGTTTATTTACTAAAATGACATTTCAGCAATAATTTTGTGTTGTAGGGTGTCAGCTTGAAGGTATTTTTTAGTAGTGCTATACACTAGCAAAAAGAGTTTCATTATGTTTGTGTTATGCCTAAGTTATATGACCAAAGTATCTGTAACGCTGCCATACTGTTCTGTATGGTTTTTTTTTCTGGGTGACCTAATTGATATGTTAATTAATGCTCCCCTCTGTAAAGAATTGTAAATCCCTGGGAACCTGGCCAAATTGATATATTAACCATTGCTGCCCTCTACAAATAACAGATGTTGTGCTAAAATAAGTTGACAAAGGGTTGTTAATTCCTGCTAGACTTCTCTGTCCTCTGCAAAGGGAAACAAAAGTCCTCCTCATTCCTTAGGAGATTTCCTGATCTGTGCCGATAACCCCTTACTTTGTAAACTGTGCTTTCTACAAAAAGTCTGGAAAGTTTTGAGGGAGACACACAGCTTTTGCAAACTCCAACTGTACTGTGTCTCTGGGCCCAGGATAAAATAAATCAGTGCTGCTTTTTAAAAAAAACATGTCTTGCCCCATTTTTTGACTCGAGCCTGGGGGTTCTGGGGGGCTTGTTTGTGGATTACAAGAGTAGTCCTGGCAATTGAACACTGAACTACATCCCCAGTCTTTTTTTTTTTTTTTTTTTTTTTTTTTCATTTTGATACAGAGCCTCGCTAAGTTGGTGAGTTATCCAGACTGGAGTTGTCCAAGCAAGGTTTGAACTTGTGATCTGTCTGCCTCAGCCTCCTGAGCACTGGGGTCACAGGTGTTCACTACCAAGCTCAGCTTGAAGATGATTTCTAAGATCATTGGGCAACTTGAAAGTATGGACAGACACTAAAGCTGAGTTAATGGTTCACTGGATATTTAGATCATGTCTAAACTGAAAACATTGATTGCTAAACATGATTTTAAGTTCATAAAGTTTTGCTTCTTGTATGTTTTAGAGCAGCTGTATTTTTAGGTGTGTTCACAAACCTGTCAATTTTTACCACTTGCAGAAATGACATGGGAAGGTTGTAGGTGGCCACAGAATGCTGTGCTGAAATCTGTCAAAATGTCAATGTGTCACAGTGTACAGTGTTCACCTCCTAGTTTCCCTTGGGAAATTAAAATTATATCAGTCAAAAGTTATAGGCCAGGCATGGTGGCCTGTAATCTTAGCACTTAGGAGGCTGAGGCAGAAGGATCTCTCGAGTTCAATGCCAGCCTGGGCTACTCTGGCTCAAAACAAACCCCCTCACCTCCCCTAAAAAATCACCAAAAGTTATAATGTGCATGCATGAATGGGGCTCTACCAGGAACAACAGAGCAGAAAGGTCCTTCGCAGGCAATGTAGAGATGTGTTCCCATTTATCAAGGGGGAGGGGGAATAGTAGTGTTAGATTGGTCTAGAATAAGCAATAGTGAAGGACTGAACCTGGATAGACATCTATGTTGTAGGGAGTTTGCAAATGAGAATTTTATTTACCCTGGACTACAGTATGTGGAAGTAACAAGTCTGAAATGGTGTGAAATGTGTTAAAATTGTAGTCCAGTTTGTTCTACTCTGTTGACTTACTTCTTTGATTTAGAGTTTGTGGTACTCAGCCATGCACACAGGGGCTGCTTGCTGTCTACGTGAGTCTGCCGAGGTGGCAAGGGCTCTGGGTACTACCAGGGTAACTTCCTGTGGCTCATGTCGACTTTATTTTATGTCACTATTAAAGAAGGCAGCATTTGCTCATTTAGGAAAAAGCAAAGGGTTTTGGAATCGTGTTATCTTTTTTCTCAGTGACTTTCTTGTCTCTGGGATGCAATGCAAGGCCTGACTCCTGTAACATAAGGGAGGAGAGGCTGATTCTGGCTCACAGTTTGTGGAGGTTTCAAGTTGGCTGGCTCCAAGGCAGGGCAGCACATGGGGCTGGGGATTTAGCTCAGCGGCACAAGCGCCTGCCTTGCAAGCAGGCAGTCGTGAGTTCAATCCCTGGTAACGATAAAAAAAAAAAAAAGGCAGGATAGCACCATAAAGGAGAAAGTGCTGATGGCATGGCAGAGAGGAAGGGGAGAGAGAGAGAGAGGAGGGAGAGAAATGGACTCTTCTGGGCCACACCCCTAGTGATCTGCTTCCCCGGAACAGGCCTTACCTGCTAAAACCACATTTAGCTATGAACTCATCAGAGACTTTGAGGGGAGGGCTAGATATAAACTCTCCTAATTTCCTCCTTTGGTTCAAAAGCTTCAGTTCTCAATACTGTGAGACAGGTGTGATGAGCTCAGTACAAAGGGCAACAACATGATTGGTCGCACTGGGTTTGTAATCCCCG